CGCCATCAAAAGGTTAGCATAACGACGAAAACAAAGTTAAACTTGAAGATAACACCGATGAATGCGTATGCGAAGGAAATGCTTTTGGATGAAGATGAATGTCATTTAGTTGAATCTCTTTGTAAATCATATGCCACACTCGTGTAGGTTTTTCTAATACTTATATGTTTTATTAAATTGTAATAACTGACTTTATTTTATTCAATTCATTATTTGAAAATGAAAATAGTCTATGTTATGAACAAAGTAAGATATTAATTAGAGTATGATGTTGTTAAGCAGAATCTAAAATGAGCATAAAGCAAGAAAACGAAAAAACAAATGTTTTTAATAATACGAAATTTACTTTCGTTTGCCGCTAGATTAGACAAAATAGCATCGTTCTCGTCTTCGTGACCAGTGAGACTAAGGAATATTTGTTCGAGTGTAGTTTGAGTCAATGAAAAACTCTCGATTTCATTCTGTTCTTTTTTCTTATTGAACAATTCGAATACATATGCCAAATTATATGGATGTCTCATCGATTGAACACCGTCCTTCGACATCGATAGTGGTACATGACAATAGAGTATTCCATTGTGTTCATCTTTTGTGTTTTTTTTTTAAATATTTCTATAGATACAGAATTATGCATAAACAATATGTTTTACCTTCAATATTGATGCCAGAAAAAGTAAGCTCGAGTTCATGTTTGAGTTGATTTACTTTGTCAATTGATAGTTTAACTTGCACGGCATAACCATTACCAAAACGATTTTTCAAATGTTGCAGAGTGCCAAGACATACGAATTGACCAGATTTCATAATACTAATTTCTATAGATCATGGAACAATTTTTTAGAAATGCTTTCATGAAGAAGAAACTTACTAGTACACAGTGCTTCACATTCTTCCATACTTTCATAGAAGAAATCGTATTTATTTAATATCAATATTTTTCTTTATCTACCTGTGACTTGTCATGATAATGGTCAAACCAGCATCTCGAGCTGCTCGAACCACATTCCATACTTTTCGTTTGGCAGCTGCGTCTAGGCCCTACATACAAATGTTGAAATCATTTTTTTCAAACATTTTCAACTCAATTTGATGATAATCTCATCTATTTATTATCGATTTGTGCACACACACTTTATCAAAGTATTACCGTAGTAGGTTCATCCAAGAAAATTAATGTCGGATTGGCCATGAATGCCAGTGCTGCACTGAGTTTTCTCTTATTTCCACCACTATCAATTACATCAAAACGAAAGATCACTGTATAAATCACCGATGTACTCACCTAAGTTTTTGTATTTGTTGTTTTTCGTGTTTATCAAGACCAAAACATTGAATCATTCCCATACAAATGTCATTAATATCAACTGATGTCAGACCTTTTAATCTATTTAATTAGATATAGACTCATCACTATTCGAATTTTATTCAATGCAAAAGAAAAATATCCTTTATAACAATCGATCCCAATATATTTCAAAATTCTCTACTTTGGGAATTGCAAAGATCAAATCACTCACGAGTTGTTAATCTCCTTCTAGTAGTTGTAATCTCACCTAGCAAATAAAGTTAATGTTTCTGTAACATTAAGATGATCAACAAGCCAATCAAACTGTGGGCAATAACCAATCTCAGATTTGTTTTTCTATAAATAAAAATTAAAAATCGAATTCGTCTTTGAAATGATGCGATAATTACCATTTGATTAATAATGACTTCGCCTGATGTCGGTTGAATATCATTGATCAACATACGAAATGTTGTCGTTTTACCAGCTCCATTAGCTCCTGAATAATTTCAAGAGAATAGAAATGAAAGAAAAGTTTATTTTTTCTATACCCAATAGACCAAAGCATGAGCTTGGTGAAACAAAAAAATTGAGATGATCAACAGCTCTATGAATACGTTTTTCGACTGATTTTTCTTTTCGTTTTTTAAATTCTTGTACAAGATCTCGAACAATAACAACGGCCGATTTTGTTAATTGACTTCGATTCAAAATTAGTTGACGTTCATTTCGAACATCTTCATCAAGTTCCTATTGAAAATAAAACACAATGACAAATTATCTATTGTTTTTTTCTTGTTTATATTATTCTCCTACTGTATCATTCCATTCAATTGCTGTTGTCACAGTTTGTTTATGTCGTTTAAAATAGTATTGCATTTTTTTTAGATATATTTTCCACAATTTTTCAATAAATACAATAATAAACCACCAGAAGATCATTTGGCCGATAAAAATCAAAAATTGTATTCCTAAACCAGGTTCATTCAATGACATCCATGGTTCACTCGATGAATAATTTGTGCCCATAACTGAGTTCACTGCTGCAATACATGAATCACTCGAACGTAGACGTATATTAAATAGAGCATGTTTAAGATTGACTGTCGGAAATATAACGGATAGAACCCAACGAATATTTGTCATAATTGTTCCCGTTCGATTGACAAGACTTCCGTCTGGCAATTTTTGACTACCAGAAAATACTCCGATAAAACCGAGAACAACATCGAGAAAACATATAAGTACATTGACAATAAAATAGATAATAAAACCGATTAATTCCGTACTCGGAATGAAAGAGTATACATAAATATATGGTAATGATGCTAATGAATATAAGACAAACATTAGAAAAAAATACCCAATATATTGATCAGGTACATAGATTTGAACTTCTGCACCTGAATTGACTCGATAAACAGCACTGATCTAAAGCAAGAGATAATGATTCTCAATTCGATTATTATTTGTTATTTTTACCTTGACAATAATGGTTAATATAGTGCATAGAATCAAACATATACTAAAATCGTATAAGGCCATAGAAAACCAATAGGTAAATTTTGATAAACGAGTCAATAATTGAAGATCTTTTGAATGAGTTAGACGTTCACGAATTATATTTGATGAAAGCATACCAATGAATACTGCTGCAAGAATACTATTGATAAAATTAAATAATGATAATGGAAGTGTGTCAAAACAATAGATCATTTCAAAAAAAGTATCTTCTTCACTAAGTTGTTCTTCACTAATCAATATCGGTTGATTAGTAGTAATAATCTTTTTTGATGATGAATTTGCATAGAATTGAAATAGACTTGTCGTAGCTATACTAAGACTTGTTGCCATTGTATGATAATTTACAGTTGAAAAATAAACATCAAATATTAATGGTAGATTAGTCGATGTTAAATTATAAAAAAGACCAAAACCTATCTGATATCTATTTATAAATATATCTTCGGATTCATTCCATTGAGATATAACTTCATTGACAATTGTATTTGTAGATAATTGTTTAATAGTTGCATTTGTATTTGTCAAATAGGTCAAAAGATGTGATTGAACATTGTTATCATTATTATTCGAATAGGTAATAATAGTATGTGGATTATAGATAGATGGATATAATTGAACTTGAGCATCTCTTACACGTTCATTTTGTAACATTGATGTTTGAATAGTTTTTGGCTTAGGTAAAATGGCTACAGTTAAAATTTCGAGAAAAATTGGTATTAAAAAAAAGCCGACAAGAAACGAAATTTGTCGACGAGTAAGAATCGATTGTTTGAGAAACATTGCCCAAACTTGAGTACAAAAGAGACGAATACCTGATATATGATTGTAGTGTACAGAAAACACTGAAAAATTAATGAATATCAATAGATTCATTTCAACGAACAAAACAACTATAATTTCTTTTCAATACCGTATCGAATGAGTTCCGATCTACGTAGGAAAAAATAACTGTGAGAGAGAGAGTACTTTTTGAAAAATATCCACAATTAGAAATGATGAGAACTTTTAGCTTTGAAAATTTCCTTTTTGGATCAAATATTGATTAGTACCAAAGTTACCTACATTCTTACATACAGTTGTAATAGTAACAAAAAAAAAATACGTACTATTCTTTGCTAGATCGTGTCTGTTGCCTCGTCTATCATGGGTATGATATTTAGTTTTTGCTTGTTCTTCTTGAATGAGTCTAAAATTTCGATACAACAATTAACGATCATGATATTGACATACAAATGACTATCATTAGAGATCAAATGATTATCCGTTCAGAAGCGGTTTTTTTTCTTACAAGCAACGTCTAACGGGTATTCCATAAAGAAAGTACCTCGCATAATTGTGTCGATAACTTTGTAAGCTTCCATTGCACTGACTCATGATTTATATCAAACGGTACTCCGATTGATCCTCTACAAATCTGTATAAACAATTTAAAAATCAAAGATTATCACAAAAGATTATGGATGGGAGTTTGACGCATCGTTACTTAAAATATTTTGTTAAAAATTGTTACAAATTTTGAAACAAAATTGATCTTCCGCATTTTATACATATCTCTCAGTCGTCTTCAGTTGATAACCTGAAGTATTAGTTGTTTTAATGGATAATCTAAGACATATGTGAGTATCTAGGGTAATCGGAATTGGTAGAATTATACATTGCTTATATCAAGTTAATGCTATTTATTGAGACACTGCTTTCAGAACTTTTATTTTACCAAAATAAAACTACAAAGATTGTATCTATTATAAATTTTTCAGATCACTTGTCGCTCAAAAAGTATAGAATCTTTGTAGTTTTAGATTGGTAGAATGAAAGTTCTGAAAGCTGCGTCTCAATTAATAGTTTTAATTTTGATATAAACAATGTACAATTTTAACAATCCAGATTACCATCGATACTCATATATATCTTAGATTATCCATTGAAACAACAAAGACTTCAGGGCATTAAATGATGACGACTAAGAGCTATCTATAAAGTATGGATGGTCAATTTTGTTTCAAAATTTATAACAGTTTTAAACAAAATATTTTAATTAACTATGCGTCAAACTTCAATCAATTACATTTCGTGATAATTTTTGATTTTAAAACCTTTTATACAGATTTGTAGAGAATCAATCTGGATACCTTTTGATATAATTCGTGAGTCAGTACAATGAAAGCTTAAAAAGTTATCGGCAAAATTATGAGAGATCAATTCGTTATGGAACATCTATTATTATGAACCTGAGAAAGACTTCTTCAATAGTTGTCATCGATAAACCATAACCATTAATAGCAAGTTGTTGACATTGTTCATCGAGACCACGGATCAATTGACCAATATGTTGTGTTGCACCACGTTTGATTCCAAAAACAAGTTCTGATGATGTTTCACGTTCTAAAACAACCGTTTGAATACGTTGTCGAATAAATTGAGCAACATTATCAGTATTGCACATGTCTTGTTTGTCAATAAAAAGTCGATATTCATATTCTAAAATTTATTTTAAATATAGTTGAAATTCTTTTGATTTTTAATATATAAAATTATACCTGTTTGTTTTTTAAGAAAATCTGGTGTACCACTCGCTTGTAATTGACCATGACTCATAATCGCAATACGATCAGATAAAATATCGGCTTCTTCAAGAAAATGTGTCGTTAGAATGACACATTTACCAGCATCTTTCATCTTTTGAATGATCGTCCAAATGAGACGACGATTGTATGGATCTTAAGCAAGATATTAACAACATACATGCATGTCACATAAAAATTGATCAACTCGACAAAATTTTTATGAAACTTTTACTATTGACGTTTAGAAGTTTTTGCATAACGGAAAATGTACTGTCCTCTTTAAAAAGAAGTCTAAGAGACATAGCGAACATTTTTTGATTTAGCTGCTAGAATAATTTTTCGTCTCGGATTTAGAAATGATTAACTTCCAGTTTTATGATATTAAACTACTTATTCAGATGATGCTATTCAGTTACAAAGAAGAGTTTCATATCGTAATTAATTTTAACGTTTTTTTTCTTTTCACTCTGAATAACCGATGAGCACAGTTTCTTCTAATTCACTCGTTAACAAACGATAGTACTTACCAATGCCGCTGGTCGGTTCATCGAGAATGAGCACCTATATTTAAGAAAAAAAAAGATAGATGTGTTGTATTTTCGACACATAAGTAGAACTGCAAAATGATGAACTTTTTCAAGAATACGATAAGAATCCAAAGAACAATATGAAATGTGACGCGATATTTCTTCATTCATCAATTGATTTGACTTACTTTTGGATCACCTATTAATGAAATTCCAATCGACAATCGACGTTTCATACCACCGGACAAATCTTTCGAAAGTGTGCGTCGATCATTTACAAGTCCGGTTAAATCTAGAATAGTATCGATTGATTTATTGATTGTTGTTGGATCTAAATGACGTATCTACAAATATTGATAATGAAAATCATCAATCATAATTCATTGATTATAACAATATACTTGTGCAAATAATTCCAAATGTTCTTGAACAGATAGTTTATCGTATAGAATATCTGATCACAAAAAAGAGAATATGCATATTTTTGATTTCTATACAAAAAAAGATTTCATCAATCTATACCGTATTGTGGACAAAAACCAATCATTTTTCGAGTTTGTTGAATATATATTCGATGATCTAGACCTTGTATAATAACACAACCCGATGTAGCCTTCATCATGCCTATAGAAATTGACATTCAATCGAGATCGGGGTATCAATTTGATATAAATATAGCATACCGACGAGGATAAATGTAATCGTTGTTTTGCCTGCACCATTATGTCCTAATAATGCGCATACTTCACCTTTGTAAAAATCAAAAGAAAAATCTGAAACAGCTGTCAACTTGCCAAATTCCTATCAACAACCAATCAATAAACATAGAAAAATTAAAATTATCAAATAGCCTACTTTCGTTAAATGTTCTATACGAATCAATGGACTAATTTTATTAATATTCGAATTCATCTCGATCCAATGATTTTGTTCATGAGTCTTAGTATTTTTTCTTTTCATTGATAACCAATTATCCTCTGAAGAATAACTAATCGGTACTGTTGACGAAGTTTTTGTTTTTTTTCGAAAACATGGATAATAGAATGGTTGCGATATACCAAATTGACCCGGATTGACACGTTCAATATATACAGCCAATATCATATAGATAATTGAATAGACAATCATAAGAAGAAGACAAATACCAATGTAGAGCGGATAGGTAAATATATTGGAATAAAGATCTCTGAATGTAGCCATATCAACTAGAATAAATAAAATTCGAAAGATTCTATGTGTATATGTGTGTGTATATGCAAAGTTCGAGAAAAATGATTTACCACTTTTACGTTCGTATTGTTGTATGACTTCCAAACAAAACAAGAGACCAGTATTGGGAAAGAGACACATTAAATATCGAATGGCAACCGGTGCCCCAATATAAAAATCAATAAAAGTTAAAATCCATATAGTAAAAGCAAGAAATTTTGCTAATAAAGCTACCATATTATAAAGACAAACAATATTTCTATTAAGAAGAAACAAGAAGGTCACTTACGACGGCTAAAGAATTGTCCAAAAAAAACACTGAAAGTTGACAATTGAATAGAATAAATGAATAAAATCGTCCATATCAATGTCCAATGAGCATAGTTAAACACAGCTTTGCTAACACTCGTTGATGGTGTATTCGAACTTGGTAAAATGAGTACACTGAATCCGGTTAAAATGCTACTTAACACAATATAGATACACATCGAACGAGTGACCCATACCAAATTGTTAATCCAAGTACGAAGACCGAATATACGTAAATATTCCTGAATACAGTTCAATCATATAATGAAAAAAGAAAAAATCATTCAATCGCTTCGTCTTGACGGTTTTTTTTTACTTTGGCCTTATTCTGACGTTCATCGACAATGTAGCCAACATTTAACATGAATGTCATCATATATGTAAGTGAAAATAAGATTGGAATAAAAAATCCGAATTCCGATTGAAATGAATCATAATAATATTCAGGACAACCAAAATGATTCATGAATATCTATGATTATATTGTTTTCGATTTGTGTAAATAAAAATGAACAAACAAACAAAAGTTACTTACACTTGATGGATTCTGACTAATGTTTGTCGAATATTGAATAATTGACAAATCAATGAAATATTGAATGCCCAAAAATTGAGAAGTATACAGAGTAGTCGTACTAGTGTCTAAATATAAAATACACATCAATCGATAGATACAAAAAATAAAAAACAAATGACAGATACCTTGACAAAAATCTTCGGGACTACGTTTCCATCGATAAATATTCGGATCAATCTTTATAGATTGAGCACGATAATAATATGAACCATTTCTATGTATTAGGATTATTATTATAGAATTAGAAAAAAATAATAAATTCAACATACTCTTGCATACGTAGAGTATAGACTATTGTATCTGGCATTGTGGATGAATTGGTACAAGAGTCAAGATTCGTAAAATAGATAAAAGCATATATTGTCGTTTGTGTTATATTGGATAGTGAAGAAATGTTTGGATTAGAAAGACTTTGCACTGCAATAAAGAGACTTATATGTAGTGATGTATGCAGAAATTTTCCAAGTGGAACACATCATGAATATAAAACAATTTTCTCGTTCACAAAATGACTTTTATTCTTACTACTCCTCAAGCATTTTTCCTCAAGAGGAAATCATCGGCATGGTACCAATTAACTGTCTAGATGTAAATGAAGACGACACCATCGTTTGATGAAAACAAGTATATTCTTCTCTTAATGGAAACAAAGCGAAAATATCGTAATTACAAACCGGTAGTAGGAAATGCGGGCCATCGCGTTGACAATTGAGTGATAGTATTGCTGATAATAGCGGTCGTGCAGGGATTCGCTATACATAAAAATATAATGAATTCAATGTTGAAATATGAACATATACCTACCAGGATAGTAATAGGTTATGTTAGCCTGTAGTTCACTAAATAACATTGTATCTTGTGGATGGAAGCGTGGTATTTGATAGGGGGCATTGAAATCACGATTGAGAACGTAACGCATGCCGAGTAGGAGGCCCATAAATATACAAGCAAGAAGAATTTCAGCTATTGTCTGACCAAGATTTCGTCTAGTGAGAAGAAACATTTTGATGAGGAGGGCGCGATAATCGCTAGCAAAGTTGATGCAATGAGTACGTATATGTTTGTCACTGTTTCGATCCATGATGTCGTGCACTAAGTAAAAATTTTCACTACCTCTTAAAAAAGAATTCGAAAGCATAGTTTTTATCCTTTCATATGAATATATCTGTCACATTTTGTGTGAAGAGATCATTAACAAGCATATCACATTTAGAAAGAAATCATAGATCTTGTTAGTGAACTACACTTCTAATTATATGTGTTACTTTTTCGCAATATGAAAAAACTTTTTATAATCTTTTTCTTGTGAAGAGCATCGTTTGATGGCAGATGTTTTTTAGTGGAACGTCAGGAAGAAAAAGAGTATTTTTTGGATTTCATGAGTTTTCAGACACATGCTAACGTAGGAAAATTCCGAGACTTCTTGAGCAAATAGAGTAATTAGCGAAGCCCACAGAAATACAATAAAATCCAAGAGCACATATGAAAACTCATTAAATTTGACGAAATCTAGAAACTTATGACAAAATACGACTTTTTCTAGTATATTTGAGACTCTTAATTGAACCGAAACAGTAAGAAAACTAAAAAACCCTTTAAGTAGACGGAGAGGAGCTAACAAAGTCCAAAACAAAATAAGAAAACTCTATAAAAATTCTAATACTCCATAAAAGTCCTTGAAATCCGAACTTATAGAAAGAAATTCAACATTCGAAAAAAATAATAAATATATCAGAAATTTCGCAACGCTGTTTAGAACACTATGAAGCCCATAAAAATTCAACAAACTCAAAATTACACTAAACTATAATCCGTTTTTTCTCCTTTAGCGAAACGCAATAATTTTCTTGATTTTTTGCAATATCATCTTTCGATACTCACCCAAATCGACTACTATTAAACCTATAAGTATAAGTCCCAATTATTATTGCTACAGTTCATCGCTTAAAATACTACACGTACGACTTATTGAATTGAACAATTATTCTCATAAGTGTATTAGTTTGTGTTACGAGAAGTCTCTTTGCATGTAAAAAAAAACAAATATACTTTCATAATCATTTTTTGACATAATCATATTTTCTTGTGAGAAAAGAAACGAATTCGTTTACAACAAAGACGAATTTTAAAAGAGCCAAAATATGATGTCCTATTCGTCTGAAATAAAACTTAAATGAGATTGTAGATTTCTTTTTTTTTGATTCACAATCAAACGTATTGAAATATTCAGTAAAAAATTAGACGCTTACCTACAACTTGTCCATCACATCTTTGTTATGTAATATATTCTCGAAGATATGCTAGTCTTCAAAATTTCTGTTTTGCTTCTCGACCGAAGTGAGTAATCGATAGGAACAATAAAAGGTGTATGTGTCAATAGAGAAAGAGGATCGATCGTAATCGTGCTGTATTTTTTACTTTGCCACATTTTTATTTGCGGAGAGACAAAGATACGCTGCTATTTACCGACGAACATACTCGAGTTGAGTGAGATCGTAGCGCACATTCAGAAGAAAAAGACTTCAGCGAATGCATGGTCTAAGGGTAAAACTTGACGCATTCTCACATAAAAAATAAATGTCGAATAATGAATAATAAAAGAAAAAAGAATCACTAGAAGTCGTAGAAAAGTAAAAGCACAATATATGAATGAGGATTATAAACACATACGAGATCAAATCGCCCTTATCTCTTGTTTGCCAGTAGAGTTAAAATACTATCCGACTCGGAAGATGAACAAGAGATAGTCTAATCAGCTTTATGGATAAAACAGACAGATTCGACGATTACCATTAAAATGACATCAAACGTTTGTTTTTTCAGTTGTGAGCAGTGAGTTTGGGAATAAAAACGCGTATTTTACTTAAAGTCAGGAATGATTTTGTACATGTCACTGTGTAATCCTGTGTAGGAAGGCATAGAGAACTAACTATAGTATTCATTATAATACAAATACATATATATATATATGATTTTTCGTTTCTATCATAATATTTGTGGTGAAGATACTCGTATTGGATAAAAGCTTCGGGAAAGTGTAGAATATGACCTTACAACACTGAACTAATCAAAAAAGTAACGAAGATTATCTCTGCTTTTTCCAGACTTTTGAAAAGGTCTACAAAAAAAAACCGTCGTCAATATAAAGATGAATACAACAAGTCACGATCTCACAACTTTTATTAATAAAGGAAAGAATAAAGACACGTGCCGTGTCTATAGCGTCCTGTCGATAAGCAAGTTTCTCTGTCAACATTCTACTTATATAAAGATAAGTCAATGAAGAAGTCAAACATGCTCCACAAAATCAGTGCTGGAATAAGGATGTGTGTGAATGTGAGAATGGCTATAGGTGTGAAGGTGGTTAAAAAGTAGATCTACACACCTAAGATTTCACTCACGCCCACGCCCATACCGTCTTTTCTTCGCTGGAGTCTCAAGATGATAGAGGGCTTAGGTGGGAGTCCGTTTTTTCTTCTGAGCTTCAAATGAAAAATCATTAAACGGTCGATAGTTATTCGAAGATATGCCCAAGAATTGATACATGATTCGTTCATTGCGAAACTGAACAAAATGACTTCTTTTATGATGATTCTAGCGTCTTGTCTTTCATGCTCTCCATGACAGTGGAGAAACGAAAATAGCTATTTGTTAAAGGCATTTTCACATCACTGACGAGAAGAACTAGTGAACATAAATAAGTAATTTCATAGAGAATGCGGTTTCGGCAAACATTTCTCGAATTTCAAGCTGAAAGCTGCATAATTCGAGTTCGCTGAACCAATCTTAAAGTGACGGTATTGTAATATATGCAGACACAAAATGAGTAAGGGCTGTTACAAAAAGAAGTGCACTTTAAAAAACATTCTGTGTTGTGGAAAATCGAAAGAGCGGGTTTCCTAACATTTTTATGCTAAAAAGGCTCCCAAGATTATTCTGGAAACCCTTTAAGACCTTTGCAAAGTTGCTGATAGACCTGAGAAACTTTGAAACTTTACGAGACTTCAGATAGGAGCACTTTCAGATGTCGTCAAGAACTTTCGATTTATGGGAACGGGTCGATTTTGTGGGAAAATTTTGAAGGTTTCTGGAAATGCTTCTATCCGAAGCGCTTTACGGGTTTCCTACAATGCGGAATTTTGTTAGAAGCTGCATAGTATTTTTTGAGAAATGTCTCCAGAGCGAACGTAGGGACGTGGATATGTAAATGGGTAAAGAGTAGACCCATAGCATACCTATCCACCCAACCGTCGGAAATTTAAAAGCACTTAGTGTCCTGACCACAAGATTCGCGATAGAATTCTGCATCGACTCCCAATAGATGGCACTTTAAATAAAAAATGATCCAACATTCGACTGTATACTCCGTTCTATTTCTAGCTCAAACGGTTGAATATCTGATATTCTATGGATTTCACTTACGAAAGGGGATGCGTAGTAATGAACTATGTATGGATCGACGTAACATTGCTTGCACTTGCTGAATCAACTATTGAAAACTTTATGATTTACCAAAATCTGACGTTTTGGTCGAAATGCTGTTCCAATTTAGCACATCTGTATATGGAGAAATAAGCACTATGTGCTGCTCGATGCAGCGCTATGAAAAGATGTGAATGTGGATCTTCTCCTAATCCAAATATTGCCACCACAGCCACACATCACTCGTACCTGCACTTACATTCGACAGAAATTCAATAGTAATGCAACACGTCGACGACAGCAAGGTAGATCATCATAATTGGTTTGATACAATTCAAAAGGTGTGAAGCATTATGGCTAACAATGATCAAATAATGTAAATTAATTCGGGTGCCACATGTTGGTATTGTCACTCGCAATTAGAAAAATCTATCAAAACTAGTCTAAATTCAAGCTATTATCAATAACGTCGTAATAAGAACAACGATAGATACGGAATCGACAATATCAGCCATAAATACAGCATACTTCATGAAGATAAATAACAATTAATGCATCTATCCGTCTGCCACATTATACAAACCAGCCAATCACAACCGATTGAACATATTTGGGCTAGTGATCTTGTCGGTTAAAACTAATAACATTCATATAAAAATGAACATTTTGATCATTAAAGTGTTACGTAATGAGTTGCTGTTGGGAAATGACTTTTGTAATAAATATAGCGTTAACATTAGTTATATCGAGAGATAATTGTCAATAACAACGACGCATCAACAAACAAAAATAAAATTTGATAACATACAAATTAACACCTAATTTCCAATGTCACAACTATGCATAATATTAGTAACCCACCGTTATCATCAAGAGTTGGCCAAGCAACAGTATCATCACGAATCAATGCCGGCTATATTTTGCACCGTCACAAAAAGTCATGAATAAGCGATGCATTGTCGCACTATTTTCTATGTTAACAATCAATGACAACAACACAACAACTTCGATGCAAACCATTCAGAAAGGAACAAACTTAGGTCATATAAGATATCAGTAGAACGTCGATTGCTGTTATGTTCGTCCCGATCGGATCAATAATCAATACGACATCTCAATCAATACATCACATCCACTTTGTAACAAAGCAACATCATTGATTAGCAGCCTATATTAAAATATGGTACCACATCTTTCAAAAGCTAAAGAAGAACGAATTGATGCAACACTACACAAAGATAAATTCGTACTTAACACGACAATACCTTCAATCATGAAAACGAACAATGTTTACCATAGAATCTCAATTCAAACGCATCATTAACTAATTTAGTTATATACATGTAGCAAATCGGCTAAAGAAACTGGAGTCTTCCACGAACAAGTTCAACAGATGCTGGGCAATCACATCATTTGATCAAGCTCAAATCCTTGGCCCTACGCAGTGGTTGTCATCACAAAAAAATATAGAAGCCGACGTTCCTGTATCGATTATAGACGGCTTAACTCGATCACGGAAAGAGATGTATATCTGCTTCTACGAATCAAAATCAACGGTATCCTCGACAAACTGGCAGAATTTCAATATTTTACAACACTCGATCTCAAAGAGAGCTACTAGCAAATCATAATAATTGATGAAGAAGATGAAAAGAAGACTGCATTCGTAACTACAGATGGTCTTGACGAATTTAAGGTGCTTCCAATTTAGTTTATCCAATGTACTGGCTACATTTCAATACTTAAAGCAATTCAGTATTAGATGCATTACGATAGAAAATCACTGTAGTATACTTGAATGACTTCATTGTGTATTCACCATTATCTAATAAACATGTACAATATCTCGATTTTCTATTGAACACATTAGAGAAAACTCATGTTCAATTGAACGCTGTTAAATATTCAATACCTGGAAAACAACTGGATGATCTTGGCTTTCGTATTAAATAAGATCGGATGAAACCGACAACAATAAATATAAAGAAAACGATTGATTTTCCAACATCAATATCAGTTAAAGTCGCATAATCATTTGTATAAATGACACAATTTTATCGTCGATTTATTATTAATGATTTTGCTAGTATAGTTGCTCTATTAAATTTATTCAAGAATAATAGCGCCAAACTTGTACGGACAAGCGACCGTGCAAAAATCATGCGATCCTTGAAATGAGAAATTATCACAATATTCACTATTCACATTCTACGATGGTAAATCCAGATTGAGATTAAATATCAACATCGATGCATTCAATACGACTTCGATGGGGTTTTACATCAGATTGTAACTGAAGATCATCTCCAACTGATTCGCTTTGAGAAAATACAGTTGTAAAAGAAGAACTCCACACAGGACATATGAATATGAGTGGAGCGTGCGGTATATAGGGATACTGTAAAAAACCAAGCGTAGAAAAGTAAACTTTCATATCCGTTTATTACCATAGACATCAATCCTTTTCAGGTTTATGAGCATCATCTACTTTTTCATAAACTCTAACAAGAGCTTGTGACCCATTACAAATTTCTCTATACATAAACCCTAAGGTGAAGCGTTGATTGTTGCACGTTTTCAACACAACTGTAGAATAAAAAAAAACCTTTCACATTAGGGCTTAATCCGCTTATATATCCAGAAAGGGTTTATGAACGCAGAAAACCATACAAAAATATATGACTTTGCAACAAATCACAAACCTTTAGCAGCGTTTATGAACAGAACGGATTTATAACAATGATAACTACAAAATAGAAACGATACAGTTATGTATTATATAACGATAGCATTTTGATGAAACTTAAAAATGTGGGCAAAAAGAGTAAAAGGGTGGAAGTGTCAGTGACGAGATCATTCACACATGCACCCTCAAATACCAACATTGGTTGAATTACCAATTGCATTAGCACATTATTCATGAAACTTTGTTTATTTAGGTCGAACTTAAGTCCAAAAACAAATTGAATCTTATGTATATACGCTCATATATATATATACCTCTATGTATGCCACAATTTCAACTAAAACAATTAGTATGGACTTATGTGAAACGATACGTAGCAAGTCAATTCAAGCTGAGTCATCCTGTGTCAGAATTAAAACTAAATACAGTATCCAATTTTTATGGTGATTGTAATAAACATATTGATGTTACATTACATCTCACTTTGAAAACTATTGAATCATGTACATGGTGTTATTAACAGATATATTAAAGAAGATATTTAGCTCGATGAGGCAGTAGATGAATTAATAGTCAAATCTTCTACTCTAGTAATAGATAATCCTGATATTATCAATGATTACACGAATGAACTAATTGTTTCTATGGATGAAATGAAGCATGAACATGAACAACAAGAGAAAATGGAAGATTAACATAGATCATAACACAGCAAAGTTTACTCTACTCTATAGACATATGAACAAATTTTATTAGTTGCTTTTATATCTATCATATTTATCATCTGTTTTATGTAGTATGAATTTCACTGTGGCAGTGCATATTTCATCTTTCTTTTTTCTGTTTCGTTCTTCAAATGCATTTGTTGTATGTTATATTAGTATCTGTTATTAGATTCTCCAACTAATGTTGTGTATCCCTATATAATAGCACATTATAACCCGTTATCAGAGTATTACAATAAAATGTGATGTTAACATACATTCAACTCGAATTTTTAATCCATTAGACTATAATTAATGATTGACAAGACAATTCTTAAGATCGATTTATTAGGTACTGACAAATCTACGTTAGAAAATTGACATTATATGCGAGTCACCTACTTATCTCACTTCGGTAAGAGTTAAAGACGAATTGTTTAATTAGAATAAACTTTTTTTCTATATAAGCTGATATTTCTAAGATTTAACCATACAGCTTAATTTTAGCTAGCTGAATAACTCTTCCTATGAACATTAAATCTAGATCTTTAACCAGCCAAATAAGTGAAGTCTCGATCAACAGACGAAGAACTGATCTGAATATCACTATTTACCAATCCATTTGCAATTCATCCACTTTCGAATCGATCTATGAAAGAAACATCTTTATGCAACATAAAATGCATGTGGAGATCGAAGAAGAAAATTGTCAAGGCAATGTTTTACCATTGATCTACTGGTTTTACGCTGATCATTGAACGGCATCGAATCACTTTGCCGCAGCCAACCACTTTCAGTTATCTCACCATGGCACTCCTAAGCACGAAACCATATGAATGACGATTTTTTGCAATCGTAATGGAATCCGAAATCTCTACTGAAATAGCTTGACTAGCAAATCAGCTGAACATGATAGCGCTCCTATGTGTAGAAGAAGCTAAAGCAGCGCAGATAATTTCAAGACCAATTCGACCTATTGTCTGATGAAATATATCTATAGAAAAATCAATACACTAATTGATTCAAACCATGACCGAATACGAGTATTTTACATGATTGAATAGAAATGATGAATTTTTTAAATAAAAAGTGCTTATTGGAATTGATTGTAACGAGAGAGCAAAAGAAAAGTTTTTTAACGAGACATTTCTCTAGACAAAATCAATGTGCATTTGGGCAATGAAGATCGCCTCGATCACTTGCGATCGCTCTTGTTTTATTTAGTCAACTATAGTAGTACACATTCTGCAAAATCATGCTGTCGAGTGTTCTTTTTTCTTCTTGCCTTACTCTTTGATAAGAAAACGGGTCCAGTCAACAGATAAACACTAAGGCATGGTTATTCTTATCAATTTTACTAATGATTCTCTGTCGGAGAATAAACTCAAAGCAGCTCACTGATAAAGTCAGAGACAAACATACATCAAAGACAAGAGCAACAAAATGGTCATAGGGAAAACTTCATGTCTGATACTAACTTGGTGGATCAACTCAATTTTGTTAGCCCATGCTCAGATAGATCTCCAGCTATGTCCTCAAGGTGCCATCACAGTTCGAGACCCTAAATGGCCAAATATATCGCCAAGTTTCGAACTCTTTGCTGAACTGACGAGTAATACTGGAACAGCAGAAATAATACAGACGTTCGGTAATCGACGAGATGCAGTCACGCAAATTGCAAACGGAGGTAATTTTCACGCTTGGCCCAGGCAGACAACAAAACGGGAAAAACGGCGTTTAAACGTCTCAACATCTCAACTGTTTAAACAGTGTCATTAGTCGCCAAAAACGCGTTAAAACGGTTTATGAAAAATTATCTTTTAACACGTTTTACATGTTTAAACGCTTGGAGTCATTGAAATTGTAACTGTTTTAACGCGTTTTTGGCGACTAATGACATTGTTTAAACAGTTGAAATAATTTCCGTTGTCACGCCTCTTAATGATCAACAAATGTTTCATCTAAACAATGAAACATCAACAATTTATAATTAAAGTCTCTTCTCATTGATAAACTGATCGATTATATTCAAATTATCATTAGATTAATGTTGAATTGACATATGTTTATCGTTTATACTTTGAAAACAGTACAGAGAATTTCTCTTTCATCAGTGAGTTTCTTTTTGTGTTAAGAGTAAGTTTACATTTTACTATTTACTTATTGGTATTTTTTTCTTTTTGTTTTTTTCAATAGTGGAAAGAAAGATAAAATACGTAGGTTTAATCGAACAGCATTAACGTCTTGTCATTCCATTCCACTATTAGAAAAAACAAAAAGAAAAAATACCAATAAGTAAATAGTAAAATGTAAGCTTACTCTTAACATAAAAAGAAACGAACTGATGAGAGAAAAATTCTCTGCACTGTTTTCAAAGTATAAACTATAAACATATGTCAATTTAACATTAATCTAATGATAATTTGAATATAATCGGTCAGCTTATCAACGAGAAGAAAACTGAATTATTTCCATTCATGTTTTAAGTGGCGGATAAGAGAGACTGACGAATAGACTTAAAATACTACGACTAACACAGGAATTGATGAAAAGACAAAGCACGGACTATCTAACCAGCTTCTAATATAAGGAAAACTACAATCGGAACTACTATGGTAGACAGATGTTCTTTTAAAGTATCATTAATAAATTTAACTTCATTTCGATCAAATTCTAAAGTATCAAAGTTTGGAGATATGATATAACTAGAAATGTCATCAATGCACTACGAAATCTCATAATTATAGTGTGTATTAAGTCGGTCACGAAATTGATTAAGCCACACCTATGCATCAGAATGTTATCTGTTTTTTCCTGTAGTGACGATATTTCTTTTAAAGCTCATTCATATTTCGATGACTTAAGATTCTCTTTTCATCGAATAGAAAACTCAACTGTTTCAAACGTCTCATATGTCACACGTACTCGTGATGAACATTCTATATAAAACATTTCAAGTGAGGAATATTTAATGGACTTTGCTATGTTTATCGTCTGCGAGTGACTCTTCTAATTGTATTATCATCGGTATCGTACATATTATGTCTAAGTCAACACTAACCTAGTGAATATTGAAGTATTTTCCACAGAAACTCACTATTAATAGCAATGTAGTAAGTGCCCTATTCTTTCTCTCATTCTGAGTGATTTCCGCAGAAAAGAACTTATCTAATTCGAACATATTCAGTCTTACACAAAAGAAGCATGTGCCATTACACATAGTGAATTTAACATTAATTTTAAGTATACGTTAGAAATAAAATGGCCTACTCAGTTAGTCAAGTACTCTGTGAACGAAACAGAACACAAATGAATTCCAAATGAAAAGAACAGGCGAATAATCGGACGAGAGGGTGATAAAAGAATGACCTCTTTTTTCCTTTCTCTGTGAACTGGACGGAAAGAAAAGACAGAATGGAAAAAATTTCTTGAAAATGTGGATTGATGATAACTCTGTTTCTATGTGACGATGATAACTAGATGAAATATAAAATAATCAAATTTTGAAACTTTTACTGAAACAGCTAAACTCTATATCATTTTTTAATTAAAACCTATATGAGAACAGGATAACTTGTTTATCTTGGTTGAACATGATTGTTGCTCATACGTACTTGCACTTTTAAAAGAGAAATAGAGAAGATTATGATTATCATATAATGTAAAAAGGAAGGAATCGTTTATGTTGTTGGTATGATATATTAATATGTAGTAACATTAATCATGATTTCCCCCTTCCATTTAGTTTTTGAACGTTAACAATATTTGTCTGCACTTATTATAATTCACAAAATACAATTGAGCTAGAATTAATCTTCTTAAATGTGCAGTAAAATAAACCAATATTGGTTAAGATGATGTTATAATATTCATTGAACAAATCAATATAACGTTAATTGTCTACACGCTGATTGTTAAAGATATTCAGTATGAGATGTGCTGCACGCCTATTTCTGTTAAGCAAATCAGTTTATGGCAGTTACTCTACTAGAAATCAAAGACAAGCTTTGTTACATTCTCATCAGATATTAACACTGAACAATATTTGTCTTAACGATTTTCAATTAAGAGTGAAATATTGCTGCGTAGATATACTGATAATACATCAATAAAGAATATGTAAACTCACTAGGCGGAGTATTTTCAGTAAGATCGTTATACTGCTATCGATTTTGACTTCGACTTAATGGCAATAAGAAAATTTTCTTGGTTTAAAATTCCTACTCACTAATAATAAATATCGGACCTGATCTTTTGCTGTTTATTAGTAAAAGATACATGTTCTAACCATCAGTTACCTGTTACTAATAAATAACGAGCCGTAAAACTTACTACTTACTAGAAAGTAACCAGACTGATTACTGATTATGTTGTGTTACGTGATTTAGACACATTTAACCAGGTATAACTGTCACAGAATAGTTAAATTAAAAGTTTACTGTTCATTAGTAACAGATTAGTAGCGCAGACTATCACCTACTAACCACTGGTTAGTGGCGATGCACATTATTTACTAACAGCATAATAATAAAATTTTTGTAGTTTTGATTTTTTTTGTTAATCGAAGCAAAACGGAAAAATACTGTTAAAACGGTTTTTTTTCGAAAAAAACGCGAAACTGGGACGTTTTTAACGATTTTGTCAAATTTAGTTGAAAATAAACTGAAAAAACGATTTAAAAGTGAAAAATTCAGTAGTAAACGCGTTTAAACGAGTTAAAACGGTGTAAACGCTTTTTTAACGCGTTTAAACGCCTTTCTGGCCGTTTATTGTCTGCCTGGGGGCGCTCTATATTATTGATGTACACAGATTCGAGTACAGTTTAATCGATGTTCGAATGCACTCGAAAGATATCGAACAGAGAAAAATCTCAAAAAAATGAATTCCTTGACATCTCTTGATAAAAACAAAAAGTAAATCATAGATTTTAGTTCAAACATTTCAGTATATAGTCAGATATCCGTTATATTTGTTCTAATGTAGAGACTATCTTTGAATATTCGTATTTTGATACTAATGAACAATTCGATATTTTAAACATGGTCACCGATGGTCAAATTCTGCCTGTTTGTCTTCGTCAAGTTATCGAACCTGTAACAACTACTTCGACTATTCAATCGGCGATCTTTGTCAAACCATCGGTTCTTCTTGGATACGATGCTCGAAATGCGATTAATCCAAATTTTGGTACGAAATTTATTAGAACATCCCAATTGAGATTCATGCCCGTGAATATCTTTGAATCTTGTTTTTACTTAAATGATTCACATGTTACTGTAGCCGTAACCTATTACATGACGGATATTGCAACATTTCCGAGTTTTGGTTATATGAATTATAGTGTCCCATTGCGCATCGAAGTTCGAACAAAATCAGCACCTGATGGCAACGAAGGAACCTATTTTTACAATATCTTTCGATTTCTATCTGATCTAACTGTCGAGCAACAACAACAAGCATTGTCAATACCTCCTGGCATCTTTTGCTTGAATCAAACAAATACGAAACCGGCTCCCAGCAACTTTTCCGATAAAATTTCCATGAATGGAGAAGTACTCATTCTATTTGGAAAAGAACTTATCATCGAAAGTCTTGATACGATATATGATCGATCGTTTCAATTCGCTCAATTTAAATCCTGGTCGAAGAACGGCGAACAGACCATTGAACTGCACGATTTTGCTACTGGCTTGGTCTATCGTTATCTTGCGTCGACACGACAATGTAAAGTGTGGACGTTCAATTCCAGTATGAGTGATGCTATACCGATGCCGGGCCAATCACAATTTTTTCAAATGGCGAGCCCACTTCATTTATTTCTTTTGGACAATATGAATTTTCAGTATACAGGTTCGCGAGAATGTCACAGTCACATGCTATGTCATGTGTGGATTGGCGAGAATGCACGATCGAATCAATCCGGATTTGAACGTCGTGAATGGTACTGGGCTTATCAATTCAATAATCAGACTATCGAACCATGGATACCTATTCGTTTAGTCAATACCCGCTTGGATGCGCAGCACAAACCGATAGCACTTATGGAAACCAGTAAGTTCAAAATCGGTTTGATTTTAGTACTATTAATTATGGTTTTTTCGACTAGATTTATACAAGTACCGAACTAATCCATTAACTGAATTTGAGGTTGATGGTACAATAGCCGATTGCTATCGTGCCCTTGGACCTACAGGTTAGTTTATACATCCCTTTCATATTACGACTAAGATAAATTAGATTGATTAACTTCGGAAGACTCTTCTTTTTGATATTGGTCCTGATATTTTACTTTGCCTTCTTTGTTACGAATCTATTCTCTATTGTATGTGTATTTGATGATTCTAGAAAAGTTCTACTATGGCATCTTCGACTTTGTCATTGATAATCGAGATGAGCAAGCCGTTCAAAACTATTCTACTTATCTAAAATTAATCGTCTGGCAGACACTCATCGAGACCCTCAACATTCGCCCTATTCGCATGTCAAATGTCTTCATTGATCGCAATAAGACCGACTTGATTGTTACTTTCACCTTAGTCGACAATCCACCATTCTATGGTCCGGTCGCAAATCCACTCAAGGAGCCATCGTTACATGCAGTAGTGACAAATTTGCGAACGTTGATCGATACGAAAAATATTAGTTTTGTTGCAATCTATGGTGATTCTCAAGATGTTCGATTATATCCCAAACCAGGCTCATTGAATGTTATTGCACGTACTCCAACAACTGTACTTACCAATAATATGACGGTGATTTTCTATGAAACTGTGATTAATACGACAAAAGTAACCAAACTGGTTTCAATGGAACGCAAGAGTGGAAGCAAAATAACAGCGCTTTGGATCGGCTTTCTCGCACTTGGCATTGTGCTCGGACTTGTGGGAACTTTTTTCATTGTACGACGATTCGTCATTGCACGTCGCTGACAATGATTTTCAACATCAGTGAACGTTATCATTGGGGTTTATTTCCTTTTTTCTTGTATAAGGATATTGCTATGTGACATTTAGAAAAAAAAAGTGATTTGACTGAATGCTCGATAAGATATAAATGACAGGGTCGTCTGTTCATGTGTGTAAAAGTGGAGTGTAGAGAATTTTTTATGTTCTCAAAAATATTTCAGACAATGGTATTCGTCGCTCCCTGCATCGAACATGATCGAAAAGTTTACGGTATTTAACGAAGATGAGAAGTACAGCGTTATATTTATGGCTCAATCAATATAAGATTTGTAGATGACGTTCTTGTAAAAATAATCATGTGTCATGCAATTCTTCAATCTCTTCTACTTTTAAAAGCTTTTGCAGATTGATAAGATATTAACTGTTTTTGCAGAAAATAGTCATATTCGAAAAAGTACTCATCCTATTATTATGATTTATTCGTTATGCACTTGTAAAAGAAAAGATCATCAATGTAACCTTTTTCTAGTCTTTCTTGCCATAAGTAAATATATAAGCGCCATTGCCATTCATAGAATTTGACATCAAATTTTGGCCAGCCTAAGAAAACATACATAATCTACTCGTGATTTCATCAAAACAGTTTCCATGCTCTATCCCAAGAAACTTTTGTGCACATTTCATTTGATCAAGCCGAAATGAGGGCTCTATCCAATTCGTTGGAACACCTCGATCGAACAAATCCAATGATTTCGCTACATTACATTGGTAAGCCAAAATAAAAACGAAATTGACTACTATAAATAATTGATTCGTAAACGTTCTGCATCTTATCTACATCAACGTTATCTTTTGACAACAAATGTTTGCGCATCTGCTATTCTGCCCAGCACACCTTTAAACATGTAGTCTCACTTTCATTTTATGCTGACATCATCGTCGGACAAGATATCTTACTTCGTGTAAACTTATTTCACTGTGGCTAAAATATTTATTTCAGAATCATGTTTATAGTAAAGATTTCTGCATTGTTGCTGACGTTGATCGTCTGCGTCACTCGTGAACAAGATCCTGAATGGAATGGAGATCAGAATATATGTCTACCTGACACAACACCACCATCTTCTAGCATACCATTGCCGAAATTTCCAGATCAAGCCGAGTTCATTATGGAAACGATTTCTTCGACACGAGTGAATAATGATATAGGAAATCCTACCATTACTGTCACTCAATATTTCTATGACTATAATGCAAATGTAATGGCACTTCGAAAAAATCGATTAGGTTTCGTTGAACTAGAATACTATTATTACAATCTATTGAAAAAGGCGACCTACTTTCCGCAAAAGCATTGTGTAGTCACAGATATTCCACTGAACATCGACAATGGTATGTAAACTAGTCCAGATTGCTTTGCTTGGTAAAGTTTTCTTTTCCATGATTGAGAACCGTTGGACATCAATCATGCAAGATTGATTTCTTCGAAAATGTCACAAAATCTTTGGCTTATGAAAAAATGCGAGCTTACTATAAAAATTCTACCTTCGTTAGCCAATATAATATTTATGACACTTGCTTTTATTTTTAGATGGCGGATCGGCTATTCAGCTTCCTAATGGGACCTTCCATATTCGACTTTTGTCAGAGTTTATACAGTTTTCTAGTTCGAATACTCAGCAACCGATCGTGCCAAAATATATTGGTTCTAGTATCTTGCGAGATATGCCTGTCGATCAATGGGAAATGTGCATAGTCAACAAGCAGATCAAACGAACGGAACGTCGAGTTTGGTCCTTCGTCAAGCCTGAATTTCAGACGAGTATAGGTTTGACATCTAATATCTCTATCCCATTGGGATATGTAATGAATGCTTCGATCGTGACGAACGATGGTTCAACAAACTTGGGATTCAATGAAATCATTAGTATCGTCTCATTCAAGCCAAGAATCATGGAAACGTCTGATTTCTTCGCACCTCCTCAAGGTACTTTCTGTCCAAATATGGAACCTAACTTGGTTAGTTTATCAGATTCGGGTATCGAATGGCCACTACGTTACACTGTTCGAATCGCTACAACGACGTCACGTGGTGTTCGTCCGAATTCGTTGCGTTTGCGTGTCGATAATAATGTGGATACGAAACGGGCTCGCTTTGACTACATGATCGATGATGAGAATAATTATGAAACAGTTATAATCGACTATCGAGAACAAATCAAATATGTGATTGATCAAACACGTGGTTTGTGCAGAATAGTCCAAGGTGTCGATTGGCCTGATGTCAACCCAGAAACGAATCCGATAGAATTCTTTCTCAAACTGAAAGAGACTATACTCGATCAACCGCCAAAAAATGCTTGGCAACACAGAGGAACTCGACGTAATTATCGATTGTTCTCATTAGAACACTATAGAAAAGTTCTCTTGTAGGAGGAGAATATTATATTGAGAGGAAAAATGCGGAGACTTTCACCAAACGTTGAGAGACATTTTTTTTACGAGAAAACAAAACTTTCTACCTAAAACCCACTTTTGATAGAGTAGATCGGCTTGATTGAATGACGAACACTAAAAATGAGATAGAGTATAAAGAATGAGAAATCATTATGTTCTATCTACTTTAGTTTGCCGTGGTTCGACAATGCACTGTGTAATTTATACCATGTTACTGACCAATTATCCACCGATGATGAATCCAGAAACTGGCATGCCCAGTGGTCAGAATTGGGATGAGACACATATTGAGTATGCCTGGTCAAAGCGTGATTCAGTATTTACTCCACAAGCAAACAAATCAAAGGTCTTGGACTATCCAGTATCACTTTTTCTACGAACCTATCAAAGGACAACAACTTCGACAGGCACAGAATATCGTTCTGAAGAAATTGAATATGAATTCTTTGAAATGTCTACGGATTTACCTAACGATGGTTTCGATGTTAGTGTTTGTTATCGTTCTCGTGATTGGCCCTATCTACATCTTGCATTTACGGTCAAGCTGAATAAAGGTAATATGGCCGACAGCAATCATCTCAATCGCAAAGAATTGTACGATCGTTTTCTTCTCATGCTTCAAACAGCCATGACACCGATCAGTTCGACACGTATTCATCAATTAGAAATCGATCATGATATCACCTCAGCTCTCGATACACTCTACATCATGTTTCTTTTGCTTGGTCCTGCTCCTACAGCTGATCCAATACCGGGCGATATATTATTGACAACGCCGAGACCGATTGATCAGCTCAGTGTTGAAGCAGCTCGCGAACAACTTAGAAGTACGATTAATAATGGAAATTTCAATATCAATGTACAGTTGTTGGATGATGATCGATCAAACGTTACTTTCACGGCGGTGTCTGATTCGCTTCAAAATGCTAAAGATTTTCTCGCGTTCCATCCATTGATTTTCAACGTAGGAAATGCAACAGTGTCGGAGATCAATGTGATCAATATGACCAATACGATTGTACGAACTGTAGTCGTATCTGAGGAGAAAATCGAATGGAAATGGTCATCAAGCGCGCAGACAGGCGGTATTGTGGGAGGCCTCTTGATTGGCTTAGTAGTCGGTATCGTTATCATTTTGATCGTTAACTTAATGTTGAAAAAACCATCGTCATCATCGACAATGATATCCATGGAACCCATTACCAATATTGGCTTTGTCAACAGACAGAAACCAGTTATTAATAGTTCAACAACTTAGGCTACACAACCGAATTCGAGTAGCTCGGATGCTTGAGTAACTTCTTCATTTTGCGTGGACAATATTTTTTTGTCAAGTCTTTCGTAATAATCAACAACTATTTTAGCCCATTCTGTATAATAACACAGAGAATTAGTTCTGAATGAGATTCGAGTTCTAGAGAAAAACCAAAGCATTATTTCCGTTGTTTTGTTATTGTATGTTCATTGTAAAAACGAATCAGCAGATCATTGCTTATCAGATTGGTTTTTTTGCTTTGTTCAAAAGATGGTCAACCTAAAAAAATAATGTATGGTCATGGAGGGGTACGCAGATTTGCAGACATGTTGAGAGGATCGCATACGTAAGTATGATATGGCTGAGAGACGAAGGATCTGGATCTGTAATTGAAGAATCTGCATTCGGCTTTTCTTCCTTCTGCAATCGTTGAAGAAGACTGCCGCATTAATTAGTTGTAAAAGGATGAGATTATTTATTGTGTTCGTCATTGTACACTGATATTCACCCGCGTGCTCATCTGGTTCTATTCGTCTGAATGATAATAGCAGATTACATTCGCATATTGATAAGCATCATTCATCCTGGCATTATGCACATGGTCATGCCTATTTAAAAGATTGTCTAATACTGGTCCCATGAACAATAAAGATGTGATTGGAGAGATCATAATCTGGTCGATTGATCTGTGAGAAATTATCTCAATTCGATTCTTCTTTCATTGCACTGGACACTATTACGACCCTAGTAACCGTCATTACAACCATGATGATCACGGCTTTTACAGCGATGCTAGTCGCCAGGAAGATCATTATTCAGTTTCAGTTCTATTACTCTAAATATTGTTCCTATAAGACAATATATCTGAGGCGAACCGCTCTCAGCAGCAACTATCAAACGATTTGTCTGATTTTCAATGGGTCAATGCCAGATACATATATGTAACCTATTGCAAACAGATCAAGGAGTTGTGAGACTATTCTGCCACTCTAGCAAGTCGCCCGTAGACGGATATAAACCGTGATGATTCTGTTTTATAGATGATCATTAATATTGCGTAAGTTTCATGCTGACATTAATCGTCGTCACACCTACCTAGCGCGAAAATATGTTGCTAACAAGCACCGATCATCGATACAAAAACGTAATGAAATCCGACAAGGAAATTGTCCAACTGCAACCTAAATGTGGGTGTGGATGTCTGAGTGTAGAATCAAAACTTTTTAAATTAGTGGAGAAATTAGTTATTCCGAACGTATAACTTAATGAGTTTAAATAAGAATGTTTCTTATATTCGTTAAATTTCATTCTTCTTGCTTTCCAGATTGCTTGCTTTTTAGATTCACAAACATATCAAAAAATGAGTGACAATGATCAAGATGAAGCTAGAAAATACATCATTGACGAAGCACAGAATCGTACTTTATCAACAAGATCATCAAATGTTAACTGTTGTCAACTGATTAATTTTTCGATAAGATGTGATCCTGATATAACTACAATTCATTTCAACGAGATTGATTCAAATCGAACGATCAAAAAACAATTTGAATATCATATTGACAAGATGAAAACGTTCATATCGTTTGAAGAATTTTAGAAAACTTATCAAATAGACCTTGAGGGCATAAGTATGAGTTTACGAATGAAAAGAAGACTTACAGACATCTATTCTACACCCACACCCATATCTGCAGTCATCAATTCAATATCAAATATCGTAGAGAGTAACTGATGACAGAATCAGAAAGAAAACGAAATCTTTTGCAAATAGTAAGATAACATTTTCAATAAACCTTTATTACTACGACTCACACTGAAAAGCAATTTTCTGCATGCAAAAGTTGTGTTATATTGACTCGAAGACGATGTTTTTCGTGACATTATTGATATCTTGTATTCAATTGAGAGAGTGGCCGAACTGTATTGATTTGAACCTTAGTTCAGTTGATTGGTTTGGGCCATCGTTATCCGTTTCTGCCGAATTATTCTCTAAAGCGCTGACATGTATCGGTGATCTGACCAGTACAACACCTAACAACGTCGAGCCTATCCTTTTTGTTCCTCGTACAGATGTCAAGCGGGCGGCATCACAATACGATCTTGGATGGACAGTTGAATTGAAGAAACTTGATTGGTCGTATTGTTTGTTAGATCCTCCAGATCACGGTGGTCTGGGTGATATTCAAATTTATTCTGAATACATTGTTTATGTCATTCGAGAGATGTACGAGCGAGCAAATCGTCGTCGTGTGAATATTATCGGTCATTCTCAGGGCGATATGACTCCTCAGTGGGCATTTCGATTTTGGTCAGATACACGATCGATGGTGAACAGCATGATCTGTTTGGCAATGACAAATCATGAAATTGACAGACAGTTGTCAAATGATGATTTATCATCCTGGACACCTACACGTTGGCAATTTTCACATGGTTCACAGGTTATGTGTGCTCTCAACTCCTTTCGAGAAGCGTTTGATGATCAAATATTCTATACACAAATCATGACACGTTATGACAATACTCACTATTATACCGCTTAATGACATTGAACTCAATGGTGGAGCGAACATTTATACTCAACACGTCTGTGCGAAATAACCGTGCCTCTCACATAAGCATCGATGTGTTTGATCAGACTACGTACTTAATTGCTATGGATGTCCTCACACATAATGGCAGTGCTTCGTTGACTAGAATTAAAAATAACTCTTGTAGGAATGAAGTGTATTGTCAACAATTGTTCATGTTAAGCTTCAATCAAACACTTATTGATAATCTCATTGTTATCATCTATATTTCGAATTCCTTCGTAGAAAACTATTCGAAAGTGGATGAAGAACCAAAATTGTGTTCTGAAATCGAACTTATCAATTCCAACGAATAGAGTAGATCAAATTCTTCCTGGTTGACTTTTTATTTTCGATACAATGTATTATATCGACGCATCGAAAATGTCAAGTATATTTGCAATTGTTTTTTCTTCTTTTTAACTGCTGGTTCATATTCGTGTAAGTATAAGCTAATATCTTGTCCATAATTCGATCAATCTTCAATGTGTGGTATTTACCAGAAACCACCGATGCGACAAAAAAAAATTGTTCTACTCCCCTATGCCAATAATTAGGACACATGATCTCTTCATTTTTTGTCTGTTCAGTGATATAGACGCTGTGACCTCATTAACGGTAATAGTTGCCTACTCACTTTGTCATCTATTTACTCTTTTCTCTCCTCTCTCTCACTCTACCTTTCTCTTGTATATAATTAAACCAGTTTTGTATATGAAGTAGACACCACTGGAGCGATGGAGTTGTGTAATGAACATATATATATATATCAAGAGTAGTCATAATGCTACTCGTTCAATCTGTCATTATTGATCACAATAAAAGACACCTACATTTGATAACGAAATAGACTATCTCTCTTGTTTTCATTATATTTTCTCCTCCAGGTTTTCATTTTTCGTTCGGTTCCTTTCCGTATCCTATCAGATCTGCTTCGCTCTGCCGAAGTATAAGCCGAAGATTACTATTGTAACGTATAGACATTAATACAGCATGTTGTTCTGTAATATATCGTTCTCAGATACGCCTTATAGCGTTTCTGTATCTGCTCTTTTTGTCGCAGTAGGAAACAAATATGTTTTGTAAGAAACAATAATAATTTGTTCATGAAACGGGCTAATTTACAAGAATGTATAATCTAAACTACTTGATATATGAAGATATTAGAGGTTTGACTCTTGTTTTTAAAATAGATAGCTAATTTGTTTATTTGCATCTAAAGAAAGTACCGCTATCAACTATGAAAAATCTCCTCTCTGGAAGAAATACAACACGAGCTGGATCGCACTTAATTCTTTAATTCTTTAATTCTTTAATTTCTAATTTCAATCTTCGGAAGAAGTAACAAATAGGATGTGGATGTAGGTGATGGTGTAGAGAAAGTCATCACCTACACCGCAAACTTACACGATATTTGAGCACATAATAAGGGTGTCTATAAGGTTTTGTCTATTGAATAAGATTGTTTCAATATGAAAATCGATTCTCATCTCAAAAGATTTTTTCTTATCTGTTCTTCTCTTGAGAAGAACGCAAGTCATTTTTCATGCTTCGTTTTTGTGTGAGAATCATCAACATGTGTTAGTATTCATACATATTGTGCTTGTATTTGTAAAATTAAGAAGGAGACAATCACAAAACGTAACATATTTGCAACTAGTTACAATGAGACAAATTTAAAAAGGTTTGATGGTATTCTCCTGTACTATATCATGATGACTTTAAAAGGGTTAACATATTGAGCGATGCAACGGTTTTGTTTTCCACACTTTCGTGACTTTTTGCATTGAATAGAATGGTACCAGTATATGTTATTTGATTTGCTGTATGTTTTCTCGCTAGCAGACATTCATTGACATATAAAAGATTCTTCATAAGTTAGCTGTATGAATTTTAAATTATCTAATAGTTATGCACGAAAATAAAACTAAAAAGAATAAAATATACAGAAATACCATAGCAAACTAATAAACGGTTAAGTCAACGACTTTCAATTTTTTATTCTCATCAGTATCTAAATACAAGCTAATAAAGATAAGGATACAAGCGATCAAATGCCTATTTTACGATTATGATCATGAAACACAGTAAGAATGAGAGTCATTTGCACGATATCTCGATCAACATGACGCCACTCGATGACAATAATCTTGAAATATTTAGTCTTATTTGGCTTGGTATCGATGTCAACAACAGTGAGAAATACAAGGATACGCACCAACAGTTGCGGAGTATTATTAATCAACTAAAAACTTTTGAAGATAATGAAAAGTGCCAACAATATATTGAAAAAGTAACAAAAGAAGATCGAATTGTACTCATAATCAGTGATCATTTGGGCTATGAATTAGTGCCTCGTATACACCACCAAAGACAATTATTGTCAATTTATGTTTACTGGTTCGATCAAGAACCAAATCAACAGTGGACAAAAAAGTATACGAAGGTAAACTAGTTTTATTATAACTTTTTGACACGTTATATTTCTATAGATAAAGATCGTCACTTTCGAACTCGATGAACTTATTCATCAAATCCAACTGGATCACCAACGCCGCACTAAAGTAGAAGAGCCAATATCAATCAATATTTGGAATACGACTAATAACATCGAACAATCGATGATTGGACTTAACGGTCAATTTATTCAATCTCAGTTGATCATCGATTGTCTACTTCGAATGACATGTAGTGCAAGATACATGAATGAACTCATTTCTCTTTGTAAGAAAATCTATGAAGGTAATCAAACTCAACTTGACATTATTCATGAGTTTGAAGTCAACTATTCATCGTCAAATGCATTATGGTGGTATACTCGTGAATGTTTCTTATATAGAATGCTGAATAAGGCTTTACGAGTTCAAAACATTAATTTACTTGTACTTTTTTGCCCGATTCTTTGTGACATTCATCAACAACTGAAGCAAAGCCAGTGTAAATCTAGGATTCAAGTGTACCGAGGTCAGCTGATGTCAGTTGATGAAGTGAATGATCTGAATATGTCTATCGGACAGTTTGTATCCATCAATTCATTTCTTTCAACCAGTCTCGACAGACAATTAGCCATCTTCTTCCTAGGCAGCTCGAATCCTCCAGATGGATTGCAGCGAGTACTATTCGAGATTGATGCTGATCCTTCTACAACTGCAAAACCATTTGCCGACATCACCTCGTATAGCGCTTTTTCAAACGAGTCAGAAGTACTCTTTTTACCAGGTTCTATTTTTCGTGTGACTAATATTTGTCACAATCATGAACAAATATGGTTTATTCAAATGACATTATGTGACGATGAGTACAATTCGAAAGCACTTTTGGAGTATTTGAAGAATGAATACGGAAAAAGTGAAACGAACCTTCGTGCTTTGGGTATTTTGTTGAGGAAAACAGGCAAAATTCAAGAAGCAGAAAAGTTCTATTACAATTTCTTGAATAGATTACCCTCAAATGATCCATTGGTTGGTGTTTTATATCATAATCTCGGCGTGTTAGCCATTGACACAGCTAATTATGATGCAAGTCTTGAATGGTTAAGTAAATCACTTGCAATCAATTTATCTAGTCCATCATCTGATCATGAGATCTTGAGTAAAACATATAATGGCATTGGTGTCGTTCATCTCAATAGAGGTAATTATAAACTAGCATTGACATTTTTCAACAAGGCTGTATCACTTTATGAACAAGTACATGTCACAGATCATCTAAGAATGGCCTGGTTTTACAACAATATTGGTGTCGTCTACGAAAAACAAATGAAATATTTATTAGCGTTTAACTTCTATGAAAAATCCCTCGCTATTGAAGAGAAATACCTACCTAGTGATCATCCTGATTTGGGCAGAACATACAACAACATAGGTGTCATATACCGACGATTAGGTCGCTATGATCTTGCATTGGAATACTTTTGTTTGTCACTAAAGATTTACTTCAAATCACTTGCTCCTCAACACCAAGATATTGGATTGACCTATCAAAATCTAGGTAATGTGTTTGCGTGCAAGAACCAATGTCAAAGAGCATTGGAATATTGGCAAAAAGCATCCAATTTACTTCACAATTCTTTGCTACCTCAACATCCGAACATTGTTCAAATCGAGCGATTCATTCGAACTGTGATGATCATTCTTGAATAATTCTATTTATCGCAATGGAAAGTGGGAAATTTCAACCTGTTTTTTTTCTCTTCTTTCGATGCTTAAAAATGCTTAATATCTTGTATTAAAAACTGTTAGCTATTCTTTTGTGTCAGTGGACAATCCAGGTGACTCTAAATACCTCTCTCTTTTTTCAAATGTCAAAATAACTACAAGTTTTGCATATATAGTCATTGGTATAGAAGAACTTTGAAAAATTTTTATACCTTTATCAAACGAAACAGCTATTATCATATTGATCAACTGACTGTGTAGGAAGTGCGTGCGAACAAATTCTTCTTAGATATTATTGACCAATCGGATCCCACAGTTTGCAGATATGTTAATGTTAGTATAATATTAGAATTATCATCTAACTCTAATTCTTCATCACTGTCATAATCATCTGTAAGGTACTTAGTTATACTACTGAATGTTTCGTTGTCCGACTCAATATCTGAGTCAGACATTTATGCTATTACTATCATCAGCTTTCGTTAACTAAGATTTTTCTAGTTGCCGTGGAATTTATGCTAAGAAGTTCTTGAATTCATGTCATTCATCCATTTCGTAAGAGTTATTTGATTTAAAGTGAACCAATAAAATTAGTTATGTGTTGATATTCATGAAGAATACTATCTTCAAAATATGTTTGAAACAATAGCTGTGTGTTGTGAGCCTGTGGTAGCTCTTAATACTATTGATACTTGGTGATGGTGAGGAAAATGTAAGTTATTTTAAATTGCATATCTTTTAATATTTTGAGCTGCGATTAATTTATTAACTCTAATGAGTAATTGTGAAAATGCACAGTTCCCATCTGTTAAAGAGGCACTGGATATTGATCTAGTACATTTAAATGTACTTTCATAGGTTCGAGAATTCTGTAGTCATTTATTGAGAACTTCAAGAGAAAGTTGTCCTACACAGACAAATGCAGTAAGGTATATAAGGCTATGAGCATTAATTTTGGCAGAACAATGCGGATTAGTACGTCATGAAATATTAACATTTTGTTTAGGTATGTATATTGATGAGGATGGGGATGAAGTTGTGTGTTAACTCACGCCGTGACCGTTACCTCTACAGAACGAACGTTTGCGAAATATCGGAGATTCGACAAAGAACAGTCACTGACTGTAAGAGAGACGACAAGCTATATTGAAAAGATCGAAGACTTTCTGGCGGTTGTTAGATAGATGAGTAGGTAAATAGATAGATAAATGATATTTATGAGCCAATCTACCTATCTGTCCATTCTTGTGTTTATCTTCCTCAATCCCTCATGTCCTTCTTATGTATCTACTTATCTGCTTACTTCCCTCGTGATCTATTGATTATTGCGGTCATTTGTCAGTGATAATATAACTGGAAATTGGTATGGACTGAAATATAATTAGAAAAGGCGAAATTCTCGTTCTTATTGAATGCTTTGGATAGTTTTTATAAGTGGAACAAAGAGTGGTATATTAATGTCGATCGATCAATCTAATCCGCATCAATGTTGCTATTTGCTTGAGAATGAACTGCTGCGATGGTTTTTATTAATCAAGCACCGCCTTATGTTTCGATTTGATTCGATGATATTGAACAATCTTTCGATAAACAATCAGCATTGATCGTGATCTTGAAGACGTTTTCTATACATCAGTGAAGCTTTTGCCAGAAAAGAAATAGATAAAATATTTCAAAAATCATTCTCAAGAGCATTTAATCTAAGATATCTTCTTAAAAAACTTTTTGTTTGATGAGATTCAATTCTCTACTAGTTGAAATATCAAATCTTAATATATTCGTTCTAGGATTTTCATTTGATTGTTATGAATCAGGTAAACGTAGATATAGTTCACATGAGTTCTCCTGATTTAGTATCTTGCACAAGTAAAAGAACAGATGTAATTTCAAATAGAACTACCCAACCACTTGTTCGAATCGATCGATCGATCGATTATTTCATTATAACGAGAGATAAGTAAGAGATCGTTACATTTTTAGTTGCTGCCGGTTTTTTGTCTCGATTCGTCATTACTTGTTGAATCATAGATGAAATTTTCTTTCAGGAAAATAGAACCTTTTCGCTGTGAATATTTTCAGACAAAAAGACGAAATGTTTCCCTTTTTGACTAAAAATATTTTGTATGAACCGAATGAGGAAAATGCAGACAATACATAGTTTCATACATATTAATCAAAGATTTCTACTTAGTTTCAAATAAATAATTCTTAGAATTCATCTATATTTAGAATCTACACATTTATTTGTTTCACTACCAACATGGAATTGTTTATTCTTGAAAAAAATAACAATATGAAACAATAGTTCTATCTAGCATACTATTCGTGAATGTGAACTATTAGGCACAGATTCAGTTGATTGATTAATATTATCAAAGGAACTACTAGCACACTCTTCCAGTTCTATTTCAACATCAATATCACTATCGTTGCCTAAATTTTTTTTAACCGATTTGATTTGAAAAGCACACAATGGCATGATAAGTACTTCTTGTTCTAATGGTACTTCAGAAATCGATCCAATTTGCAAGGCCGTATCTGGATTTATGATTTTATAGATGCAGAGTGTCATATATTGAATAGGATCATGATTTAAATTTTGTCGCATGGATTTTGAGTCACCAGCTCCAGCAAATACTTCCGCTACGTGGCGATCAATAGATGTTGAAAGAAATGATTTATTCAATAATCGCTTGCCAACATTGTAAATACAGAGATCATGTCGGCTAAGTATCATTCCCCTATAAATTGTACCTGTATAACTGAGCAAACGTAAATCTGGATGGTATATGAAAATGGAAGCTAGATAGCCGACAGATTTCTCCAATGTATTAGCATGTCGTACATCATAGTTCCAGCGAAAGAATCGCAATAGACATTTGGCTAGATGAGTGTTAACTATAGCATAAAATTGCGTGGCAGATGTGTATGCTTTTACAATATATTGAGCATTTTGCTGTAAAGCTGCTTGATGAAAGAACCATTGAATCACTTGCTTGTCATGCTCAGAAAGACATGCTCGAACCACATGATCAGCTATGTAATGTTCATTTAGAAAAGCAATTACTTCATCGAAAGATTGTTCAAGTTTTAGCCATTTATAGAGATTGGTCTTCCAATCTGCTGCCTGCTTAGATTCCACCACCCATTCTGCATGTCCAGATAATCCAGTGAAACGGTCGTTGTCTGCATCAGAAGTTATATTATTTATACTATTAATACGATAAAATAATCTTCGAATTTCATCGTCATGTGCTTCCTCAAATGGAGTCAATCTGTACCGTCGATTGCGTATGGAACGAGATGCGCCTGCATTTAAGAGCATCTTAACAATATCATAATGACCATAATAACATGCGACATGTAAAGCTGTACTTCCATTTGATTCTATTTTATTGATTTCATCAAGTGACATTGAAGCCAATAGTCGTTGTACTTGATCAGAGTTACCTTCCCGACAGGTATAATAGAAACTACTGATTGATGATGACGATTGACTTTTCGTGCTCAAATATGTATCACCATTGTTTATCGACATTTCTTTTTTCCCACAACAAGTAATCGATAGAACATTTCCCATGAAAAACCTTTTATCTAAAATTTGATGTTATAAGTATTATTATAAGAGTTATTTTTATAAAAATAATACATAAGATAATATGTTCGCTGATTTCAAGTGATGCCACTCATCATATGGCCAATCGATAGAAGAATGGCTTGAAGATTGAAAGGAACTTATCCTTTTTGATGATCTGTCTTGAGACAAGATGTCATACATTTGATTTTGTAGAGCAATTTGAGATACATCGAATGTTATAAGAAATCTAGTTTTATGGAAATTTTCATGTGCTAAGAGTTCATATATTTCTTATAATTCTCGAGAAATATATATCGTACTCATTGATATTATGATTTCTAAGATGTTCTAAAATAAACTTAGACAAATTTGGTTTCTAAACTCAATTCGATGTAGTTTCCAGTGTTCTTTGATTTTCTATAATCAATAGTTTTCATCGTTGCTTTCTTCATACTTAGAATTGATCCATTTTCTTAGATCTAGGTTATTTTTCTTGAGTACTTAATATTTCAGTGTGTTCAACTCCGTACCACAAAACAAGTGAATACCAAAGTGAAACTTTCTGAAAAACTGCATACTATCGAGCTCTATTTGTTTCTCACATAACATCTTTTTGAACAGCAGAAACTCATTGTCAACCTACTAGATTGTCCTCTAGAATAGTTTAATTCTCTTTATAGAGGGGTCTGTATACTCACGATATTTTAATAATACTCAACGGTTCTATCAAAAAAATTTGATGTATCCATAATCAGCACAGCATCTCTAATACAGTGATATAGATAAATCCTTCAAAAACGAAAATAATTGTTTCGACCTCTAGGCCCATGAATGGGGAATATGGGGAACAAGGAAAAATTTATTTTTAAAACGAACATGTGATATTTATAGATTCTTTTAGAATTTCATGCATAAATCACATCTGGATACTCGGAACACAAATTTGAAAAAGAAATAATAAAAACTAGAGAGTTCCTTACTGCAACTCAGTACTGATATCACCTCTAGTGGTCTGGAGGTCAAAAAGTCTTTTTTTTTTGGCTGATTATTGATACATAAAAATTTTTAATAGGACCGTTGAGTGTTGTTGAATATCGTCAATATAAAGGTCCTTCCATAGAGGCATTTAAACTATTCTAGAGGACAATCTAGTAGGTTGACAATGAGTTTCTGCTGTTCAAAAAGATGTTATGTGAGAAACAAGTAGAGCTCGATAGTATGCAGTTTTTCAGAAAGTTTCGCTTTGGTATTCACTTGTTCTGTGGTACGGAGTTGAACACACTGAAATATCAAGTAGTCAAGAAATGACCTTGACCTAAGAAAAGGGATCAGTTTTAAGTATAAAGAAAGCAACGATGAAAACTATTGATTATAGAAAATCGAAGAACACTGGAAACTATATCGCACTGAGTTTAGAAATCAAATTTGTCTAAGTTTATTTTAGAACATCTTAGAAATCATAATATCAAAGAGTACGATATATATTTCTCGAGAATTATAACAAATATATGAACTCTTAGCACATGAAAATTTCCATAAAACTAGATTTCTTATAACATTCGATGTATCTCAAATTGCTCAACAAAACCACATATATGGTATCCTGGTTCAAGACAGATTATCAAATCTGGCAAGGTTCTTCCAGCAAAAACAAGAAGTCATATTTATAAAAAATAAATAAAAAATAAAAACATCACTTGTCATGAAACTTTCAAAAAAAAATGTTCGGAAATATAAGAAACTATTCTATAAGATACAAGTTAGCTGAAAACCTGTGAATAGAAATAGTCAGAATCTTAGGACCTATTGAAATTGATAAAGACAGTTTGGGAATCATCTCACGATCAAATTAGAATTGAAAATATAAGATGTTTCAAGTAACAAAAGTATTTATTGTAGCATCAAACTATACACTGAACAAGAAAACAAACTGGAGTTTTTGATGATTATCGAAAACATATATATGGAAATATTAACCTTAGACAGTAGTAAAAATCCTAGTTACTTCATTCTTTTTTGTCTTAGAGTTACACGAAACATTCTCACATGCATTTCATTATAAAATGAACAATAGTAAGAAGATGGTTGGACAAGTACTCATGATGTTTGACAATGATAGAAATATTATCGAAGATTTCAAACTAACTTTAATTACATCTCGTATTAGTTAAGTAAGCTTAAAAGTAAGATATTTTTCTTTTCTTGGTTATCTATATTAAAAATCAGTCATGCAAATTGACATGTATAAGTTGAATGATACAGTAACACACATCACACAATAGTTTCATGTATTGACTCCATCATCATTATTTTTTTGAAGGTAAGATAATTATTATCAGGTATACAATTGTAATGTTCAATATGATGTCCATCATTAGTAATGAAATCAAAATGTTCGCAATATACTTGATCGTTTGTCTCGTATTGATAACAATGAATAGTAATACAACATGATCCATACATGTCAGGATTAAGCATTTGATATGTTTGATTGAATTTAGGAATCATCCATGTGACTTGATTTTCTTCAAATAATTGCTCAATAGGTGGATTTTGTCGCAAATTAATTAAAAGAGCTGGAAAGAATTTTAGAACAAGTCTTCCATGAAGTATACGAATAATTCCATATGCATCACCGTGATTATGTACAGGACTATAATGACCAGGTGGCCATATTTTCATTACACATGGATGTATAAGCTTACTGTTTTCGAGTTGATCCACTGATATACATAGATAGGTAGTCTCTAATCTGGGTTTTCCAAATTGATTTATTTTCTCTTTAAGTTTTCGATAACACCATCCATATGGACTTCTGATGCTATGTTCAATAGTCTCAATAAAATTCGGAAAGCTATTATCTTTTAGAGTGAAATTAATGACTTCACGGTAAAGGTTTCGACATGGGTTTTTTAGTAAAGATTCTAAGACACCGTTAATGTTTGCAGGATGGGTCGGCGAGAATTCGTGTGGTGAAATAACTAATAAAGGAGGATCAAAAATCACTGGTTCTGCACCAATGAAAATCCTCAGCTTGTCTTTAAGATGTTCCTAAATAAATACGAAATAACAGTAAAGATAATTTTCATTGAAAGATGGTTTAAATGGGATTGTTAAGACAAGAAGAGATTGAACCATGGAACACAACTTAGTAGACTTCTAATCGAAACAACATCTGAAGGTATAGAAAAATTCTATTGTCTTTTTAATGATGCTCCTTTTTTTTTGTTCGTTATGATATCAATTAAAGAGTGAGAAGATTTTCAAAAAATAGAACACGGTTTGCGCAAACAGTGAATATTGAGAGAATTTTTTTTCTCGCTTCCTATGTTATATTGTAAGTGCCACCACCTTTATTTTTGGTATATTCTATGTCAATCAATAAATTTTAACAGTTGTTCATCACTCTTAAAGTCAAAGAAAATTTCGTATTGGAAATTCGATCACTACCAAAAAAGTGTCGTTTTGGTTTTTCTACTCTGTCCTGTAACTCGAACAACTAGTGTTACTTATAATTACACGAGAATAACATGATTTTCCTTGAAGTAACTATATCGCAGCATACGAAAGCAATGGGAAGATAAAATAACAATGAAATTACATTATGTCTTGTCTAGGAAAAGAATTTCAGTTCTTGAAGACTTTTCATTTATTTCAAGAAATCTAACATTAGTTCACTTTGTATGCAATTGTTCAGAATGGAACTAATCAAAATTTTCTGAAAAATTTTGCATCACATTTTGCAGAAGTAAAGTGGAAAAACTTACCATAATTTTATTATCTATACTGTTGTTAATTTTCATGTGTAAGTATGAAATACTTTCAATGAAAGCTTTATCCCGTTCTTCAAAATATGCCTCAAGTATTTTAAACTTTGGCCGAATTTCACCAATTCCATACTGGATCATTCGATGTTCACCGTAGAAAGTAAGCCAATAACAGTGCCAATGGTTATCATCCATTTGTAGTACTTGATGTGGTTCTGTTGTATTATCTCGTACACGTAATATATGTCCATCCTGAGCACTGACTGTACCAAGTTGTGCTTCACGAGTATCGATTTTTAATACAATTGCATAACTATTTCTAGCATTATCGTTCGGATCCTGTTTATTTGATATTCGTAACTCAAATGGAATTGATTCATGTTGCCAGATTTCAATTGTTCCTTGTCCTTTTATTGGTAATGATGTAGTGCAACTACTCGTTTGCCATGGAAACCAAGAAATATTTGGCTGACAGTAAGATTTAATCTCATTCTTACAAAGGCAATGAATTTTAACAGCCACACTTTTTGGTGCTGGTACTATATCATTGCCAGAAGTACTGTTCAGTTGAGATCGACGAGTTTCTTCATCAAGATTCTGACACATTTGATCAAATAATTGTACAGGATCATCGAATACACCACGAACCTTTTTATAATTGATCTTCCAAATTTCGTACTTTTCTTTTTTGTTACAATATATATAAATCGAATGAAGTTGCGAAAGATCGTGCAAGTCATTAATAATATCTGCACCAAGACGACCCGATGAGATAAGTACAATATTTTTTTTTGAATCTGCTTGTTTTATGAACTGATAACATTCGTCTGTTCTATCATAAAATTTCCAGTCGTATGGAGTAACTGAAGTTTCAGTACAACATTGATCTCTGAATTTTTCAAAGTCTTTTGAAGATGTATCTAACCAGAGAAAAAACATATTTGAAGGTATAATAGTCGTTTTTCGTAGTCGTATGAAGCCAAATACAGATTCTTCAGCCATTGTAAATTTTTCAATGATGATTCAAACAACTAATATCAAGAAAGAAAACATCTATGTTATTGATAGTTCTGATAAACTTACTCATAAAAAAACTTTCTCAACTAATGCCTATGATTGTGCTTGTAGTTCGCAGATCGGTAGAATTTAAGATACAGACAAAATCCTAGCAGATTTTATTCTATCGATCTCTAGCGTACAAGAAACAAATACTAGCAGCTTCTCGATAAACAGTATCAATGTCTCATAAGTGTATTTCATTTTTCAAAGTTAAATGAATTTCTGGAAGAGAATACGATGTGTTTCAGATTACAAGAATTCTAAGTATTCTATGAGTAAATTTTGATCAAAATAAGATAGAAATCTACAAGTTCCGGAAGAATTGAACAGAATACAATAAGAACTATTGATCCATGTGAAGATTGATACGTCAAATAAGACATGTCTACATCATGTTTTCTTTTATACATTCATGTAAAATTCTGTAAATAAACTTAAAAACTACTTCTTTTCAAAATCTTACTTCCTTTTTCTTTGGAAATTATTCGTTTTTCACAAGGAATAAATCGAATCAAATGAGTGGGATCATCTATCACCCTATAAAGAATATTTATTCTTCGTATACATTTGTATCTATTCTCTGAACTTACAAGTCACATGCAACAAACAATGTGTAAAATGTAATGTAATGAATACGAACTTGAAAGTTTGTACAGGTGAACAACGTAATATTAATTCACCAATTATTAATATAAATAGTTTTCTTTGTTTGTCTATTTTATCTACAATAAAATAAAATGAATTTTATACAACTGGATCTAAATTAATCATATTAATTAAAGAAATATAAACAAAAATCCTGCAATAAAAATATGAAAAAAAGAAACTTGAATATATTCCTCTGAGAGTTCTTTGGCTTACTATATATACAAAACCTTGAAAAAATATAGTGTGTATCTTCAAACTTGTGAACAAACTTGTAAGTAGCTATCGATTATGTGATCATATCTGGTACATTTTAGATTTTTTTCACTGATACTAATATTTATATGACCGGGTGGCAAGACATGTCGATATGACTTTAATGCTTTTTCATGATAGCGTTGAGCTTCTTCGATATTGTTGAGCTGTAGAAAAACTAATCCCATACCACTCCAACAGTAAGCCATACATGGATGATGTTGAGGTAGAATATCATGAAAAATAGCTTCAGCTTGTTGATATAACTTGAGAGCTTGTTCAGGTTCACCTTGTTTACGTCTTGCATCACCCATTTCACTAAGTATAATTCCTAGACGTTGATGTCGATCGGGCAAATGAAGATGAAGAATTTTCAATGCACGTTCATAGCATGTATTTGACTCATTATATTGTTGTCGTTCCAAATAATATCTGCCCATATATGTGTACGTTTGTGCATTAGCAAGGTCGTTAGATCCAAGTTTTTCTTTGCAGATAGACTCGGCTTTTGTATAAAATTCAATGGCTTCATCCAATTCTCCATTATCTTGATAAACCCAACCAAGTGCATTTAATGTACGTACCATATCGCGCTGTTTCGATGAAACCAATTCCTGATACACAAGAGCTTCACGAAAGTTCTTTTCAGCCGAATCAAGATCTCCTTGAAAGGTATAGGTCAATCCTAGATTATAATGAAAAGCTGGTAAATCAGGATGATTATTATCACGACAACGTTCAATCAAATCTTCGAAGTAACGTTGAGCTGTAACATATTTACCCATGTCGATAAGTAACGTTCCAAATATAACTTTTTCACTAGTTTCGTTCAGCTCACGACAAAGCAATTTCATATATTCTGAGAAAGCGTGTGATCCAGCATTTGTAGCTGTTGCTTTTATATGCCAGATATTACTTGTTTTATTAAGTGTTACATCAACAATACGAAAAGCACTTCCGATATTGAAGATCACCTCTTCTTCTTCAGGATGTTCACTATATGGCGTTATAGAAGCAAAGATGATATCATCGATGCGACAGTCTGCTTCAATTATCCATAATACTTTCTGCGTGTCAGATCCACGATGTGAATCACGCGATAAAAACTCATCGGCTACCCATTGTTGCATGCTTGTTGAAATAAATCCATTTATACTAGTCATCTCACCAATTGTATCTCGTAACTTATCCAATTCTTTTAAAGTCATATGACAACCTCGATAGAGTTTTAAAACAGGTGATTTTTGATGTTGAATACGGAGTTTTTTGTGTTCATTTGTCAATTGTCGACATAAATCCGATATATAAAAACGAAAAATATACAGTGCCTCAATATCTTCTGTTCGTAGAGCGGCATTTATCAATTTATAGACAAACGACTGACGTGTATACCAATTAATCGCATCGGAAGGTTTATAAGTTTTCTCGAATTCATCCATATCCACACAGAACTTTTGTTGTTGAGCATTTCGTGCATAATGTTGCCTACATTGATCGATCATCTGTTTCATGTCGCTTGCATCATATTTGATCTTCATAAGTACTTTCTGTAGTAATTGAAACCAAAGGAAAGATGCTGCATCATATGTTAGATCTCTAATAGCAGTTTGTTTTTGTGTAAAGAAATTGAAAATTGGTGCCCGAATATGATAATTATTGAGTTCAATTTCAAGAGATAATTGTAATGAATCTTGTTCTTGAAAAACACCAATCACATAAGGAGAGTATTCGATAATGAGATGTTCATATTGTTCTGGACGAGCACAAAAAATAAAGACAGAATCAATCGCTGGTAACTTGTTCAATTCAGATAAAATAGGAGTGCTAAATTTACCAGAGACAATAAGGAAAACACGAGATTTCTTATTATTAATTGTGCTCAAAGCATTCAAACAGTTCTTCACATCGTCAAATGTAAGTACAGGTAGGTGAATTTTGTCTAGCATTAATTTTGTTGTATCAGCATCACTCGATCTCAAATTAGCTCCTGCATCTAACCAAACGATAGTAACACCATCAGGTAAATCCAACGGTTTAGATGATGTTGGTGTAAATTTCGTTTCATTTAATTGAAATGTAGGAGAATTTGGAGTTGTGGGTAATATATTTTCTTTCGATAATGCGCGAGTTTTCAGTCTGTCAATAGCTTTGCTGGCTTTTTTTCCCATATTATATTAAATTGTATTCAGAGTTTGTTTATTCCAAGGAAGAAATGTTCATCAAATGTTTTCTGAAAAGAAATATGCATTGATGTGACAATTGTCTAATATTTTTTTTCTTTTTTTCAGATGTTGTCAATAAAATCTAGAATAGATTAGATCTATTTAGTAAATATTTATCATTACGGTAAAACATGTACACTAAAACTGAAAATAACTTAATCGTTTTATTAATATTTATGTCTTGGCAAAACGTTAAAAAAAACTCTCATTACAGATCGCTTTCAAAGCTTAAATAGCATATTAATGATTATCTTATAAAATAAGTAATAATCTTTGTGACAAGTCTAGGAAAGTGATATGATATTTCAGGATATTACACAACATTTGTTTTTTTTGTTTTTTGAAGAATTTTGAACAGCGAGCAATGGATCAGTCATAGTAGAATCGTCTTGAGATCTAAATATACATAAAAAACTATATCTATTTTAAATTGAGTATTGATATATGTGATAGTTATCTGGTTAAACATGAAACCAATATCAATTCTCATGTCATAGTAAACGATCGCAAACTGACACTTAACTACAGTTTAACTTCTAATTGATTGAACAAGTCATTGGCTAACTGCCAAAAGACTATCAGCTTATTCGTATGACCGTCGATCTTGAGGCTGTAAAATCTCAAGAACAGAACAACTAATCACTGTTAATCAACAATTCTTGGATTGATTATTACAATAGGAAACTATACTCTCCAGTTTTAAAAAGCTCGACGTACACAACCTTTGCTTGATAGAATTAATGTTAATGTAATTTTTCTTTTTAAATTTTCAATCAAACTACGATAGTTCCCATCTAAGAATAAATTCGAAAAGTAAATTCTCCTTTGATAAGTTAATAACTTATTGTACAATATTTTGAAATCCGTATTCGTAACGTCTGTGTGGATTGAATACACCTAGAAAGGGGATCAAGCAAGAATTGCATGTTGCTGAAGTAGAATGTAAGTAGTACGGATAACATGAAATTACACTCGTGTAATGAACTTTCGATGACACATTTATTCTACAATCGGCAAAGTTTCTTTAGCAATTGATTCAAAAGAAGAAAAAATAAAATAAAATCTTAACAGTAAATCTGGCGAAAAGTCCTATTAAAGAAAACTTAATCATACTATAAATTAAGCATAAAAGACAGCAGAGATAGAACAAAGTGAATAGTTGTCTCTGAAAGACTAGATTATCTATTGATGATATACTTCCGAGAGGCAACTAGCATCGATAAATATCAATTCATTCCGTTTCTGTTCGACATTAATACGAATTTTACACAACTTGTCCTACTAATATATCGGCCGAAAACGATAATTACAATCTCCTCAGCTGATCGGAACAGATAGCGTATGCTATTGTTTTAAACAATTGGCGATCATAAAAGACTATAATTGGAAGTTTTCATGTGCACTTCATTACAAACGTATTTTTTATTGTGCGATTTACGATATTGTGAAATACAGCCGTAATACAATGTTTATGGAATAACAAAGAAACCATAAAAAGTCGTTTGCGACCACGCTTATTCGATCTAGCGATCAATTACTCTTATATCTACTTTTTTTTATCTTGGTCTTCCTGAAAATCTTTTCTTCAAATTGAATTAAACAAGTACTATTAAAACAAATACGTAAATATTACTATACTACACGTACTGGGTATATCTACTTTATCCAAGTGAGTCTTTCAGCGATGGAACTGCTGTGAAATCAGTTTATCGATATCTCAAACGATTAAGCAGATCCATGAAATTTCATCGTCATAATTGCGACTATGTTATCTAATTTTCAGTGAGCTTCGGATAGCATACAATACAGTCGGAACTGTAACGTTTAGTAGAAATATGAATTTCGTTATTTAAAAGTTGAGGCGAAAAAGAAGGAATTGCGAAGCAAAAATTGTATGCCATTAAAAAAAAGCTAAATTTATATTTTTTGACAACAGAAGAAAATAAACAGGATAGAAAATCTTATGTATAAATAAGACTAGTACAAAAAGATGAATAATGAAGAAAATATATATGTATAGAATAAAACAAGATACACGAACAAAAGAGGATGAGCATTCGTAATTGACGTAAAACAGAAAATAAACATCTGACGACGACAAGAGTAGTCGTGCCTTCATTGGTGTTTAGTAGAAGAATTTAGTACATCGAATGATGATATGATGTGAGTGAGAAGATAAGTAAACAGTTAAAAAAAAACATGTGCATATCAATGACGTAGTTTTGCAACGATAATTCGACATTTTGATGTGATATTATTTGAGCTGTAAGAGATTGTTTGTAATTCCGGTTACTGTGTATATTGTCTTAGATATTGTACAACATTTTATTAACCGTATTAAGGCTATATTTTACGGTATTGTAAACAGTCAAACGTTCAATATTTCGTTGTTACACAATCTTTACTAATTGCTGCATACGGTATAGTAATATATATTCGGAATATGGCACATCCAAAAACTTCCACTTCTAGTTATTTATACTCGCAAATTGTTTAAATCATCAGTAAAAGTTCTGCGTAGTGATTGCATATTTTCATCTATGGAGACTACAATGATCATCTGAAGAGTAAATCAGTCAGTCATATTCAGTGTAAAGTAATGTGGCTAACATCGATACTGGCCCTTAAAACTGATATATTCATTGTAACTCGATTAAAATTTCAAGTTATAGATTTAATCATATGAAGAAGACGTGAAAAATAGAAATCAAACATATGTAGTTCATTTTATTACGGAGCATTCAATATGTAAGAACAATCATTCAACAGTCTCATTTTTTGATATTCTATAAACATGGTTCCCGATTGTTTTGAAAAGTGGAGGGGGCTAAAAATTTGGCAGAAAGTCCAAAAATGTTGGCAGAAAGTGCCTTCATATGACTTTCTGGCATAAGTAAGCAGAAAGTACTAAAATTACAGACTTTCTGCCAGATTTCATCAGTAAAAGATGTTTTTGTTCGACTTTCTGTCAGAAAAAATGGCACAGAAAGCTTAAAAACTAGATTTTTGACGCAGTTTTTGAGGAAACTTTCAAAAGTTTCGCAGAAAGTTTTTTAAATTTTGCCAGAAAGTCATACGTGTTTTTAAACTTTGCGGGGGGCTAGACACCCCCAGCCCCCCCCCCCCCCTAATCGGTAACCCTGTCTATAAATAGAACATTGACTTTCTACTGTTGGAATATGAATAGTTTACGAATTCCAACCGTATATATAGTAAGCAATTCATTCATTTCTAAAAGCTGATTCTGGAAGATAGATCAGAACTCATGTCATCGATTATTTATCAAAATCGATATTTAAGTATGATTGTAAAAGACCAGCAAAAACTACCAGGCTTACGAGGGAAGGCCACCAATTGTCTCCTCGCTTTTGAGCTGAAACTCAGTGGACAATAGGTAATCGAACGTGCTGATTCCGAATATCACAATGGTTTTTCCCCGCTTTCGATTTAAAGACCCGTTTTTTGAGGATCTTGGTTTTTCAACTGGAAAACCAATTTCACTAAAACATTTTCTTGATCTGTCCAAATGAAAGAGCACGCCGTCAAACCTACAGAAAACAATTTTTCAAGGTTCTAAGCGAAGTTTTGAGCGAGTTTTCTGCGTCTAAAACTTAAAACAGAACAGAAAGAAAAACAGTAGTTTTTCTTTTATAAATTGTGTAAGAATATAAGCGGTTTTTCCCTCTTTTTTTAAGTTTTAGACGCAGAAAACTCGCTCAAAACTTCGCTTAGAACCTTGAAAAATTGTTTTCTGTAGGTTTGACGACGTGTTCTTTCATTTGGACAGATCAAGAAAATGTTTTAGTGGAATTGGTTTTCCAGTTGAAAAACCAAGATCCTTAAAAAACGGGTCTTTAAATGGAAAGCGGGGAAAAATCATTGTGATATTCGGAATCAGCACGTTCGATTACCTATTGTCCACTGAGTTTCAGCTCAAAAGCGAGGAGACAGCTGGTGGCCTTCCCTCGTTAGTCTTGTTACATCGATTTTCTATTATTTTTTTTTTGTAATAAAACTAAACCAAAGATGAAACCAGCTTAGTTCGATTCTTGAAAAGCATGATTCGAATTCATCTCTTGACTAAAGATTACTTTTGTGACTCCACAACGCTGTAACAAATATCAAAGGTGTAAATGCAACAGAAACTTGATGTTCTCCAAGATTGAAAATTTCTAATCCATTCAGACATGAACTGTATTAATCGTACAGTTAACTACATGTAAGCTGCGATTGACCGATGATTTGCATATCATGAATACGCAAACATCTCAGACAAAATCTTTCCTCGTTTGTATCTGCTAGTTGGAAGTGACATTAATTTTCCAATGAAATCTCAATAGATTAAAATGACAGTACATTCCTTGAGGTCGAAAAACGACTTTTTTTAATCTCATCTAATATATTTATAATAAAACTTGTCATTGTTATATGAACATACGTGACGTTTGATCGTCGTTTTAGTAATGGTTCCAATGTTGGTATTGTTGTTGGAGAGATAGATGGTGAAGTCGATGAATGAGAATCACTAGTTATGAAAAAAATAAACGTTCTCATAAAATAATTTTTTTGTTGAAATGTTATGTTCATTATTATTACCTTGATGGAACGTATCCTAAAGTATCAGTGAATTGAAAACCAGTATATAATGTTGGATCATAACCATATTTGGTAGCTACTTCTTCATCGTCCATAAATTTTGCTCCTTGTTTCAAGTAGAACTTAACAGCTGGTATATTTGCTCGTCGACACAAACCCCAGTAAGAAGTACCTGGTGGATAAATCGTACGCAAATGTAACAGAAGACGAGCTCCACAACCACGACGTTTATTTTCAGCTTCGATTGCGCATTGAGCAATATAGACAGATTCATTTTCTTCTTCCTTTAAAGTTAAAAAACCAATAATACCTTGTGTCTTGTAATATTTGACAGTATCGGATGAACATAACATGAAACATCGACATTTTTTAGTAAGCATTTCTTCTTGCATTTCATTAAATGTTTCTTGTAACCATTCAATAAGTGTCTTGTCTGATTTTAATTTAAGCTGAGCTGCAATTTCCTTGTAAAATTGGTCGAATGAATGCACAAAAAGTTTACGTAATATAGGTAAAATTGGATCATGAGCCGAGCGTGGTAAAAATTCTCGTACAACAAGTTTGTCAACTGTTGGTTGAATGGTTATTTCTTGACTGGCTGTGAAATCATTGAAATAGGTAAATTTTTATATCAAATCACTTCAATTTTACTTACGTTGAGTTTTTAATGATTGAGACTGGAGTTTTTTATCTAAACAATCATCCCAACGGGATAAATGTTTTTTTCGACCTATGTTTTAAAAATTAGAAATTATTCTTGAACTTTCAATTGTAAACGCTGACCTTCACTAGAACTTTGAGAAATATCTCTCAGATTAGTGACATCCGAGTGAACATCATCGTGCATAGACCAACGAAATGAAGCCTCTGTGAAATAAGAAAAGTATATTGAAGATTTATGTCAGTTTTTAACAATTAATCTATTGAATTATGAAAAAACAAAACAATATGATATAATATTGTTAACATACCATCAGTCGATCGGTCATGTTGTATATCATAATGATCATCATGTGAGAGTTGATCTAAAGCATCCGATGCCGTTGACGCTATTGAAGAGGGATAAGGTTGTTTTTCACTCATTTTTTATTTAAAATAGAAACAACAGTCGTTGGGTTCTTTTTCTAAAATTATGTTATTAGTTTGTTATTTATTTTCTACTGTGTTCATGAAACAGATAAAACTAGGGTGTTTTGTTACTTGTTAACAGAAGCATGATTAGTAAAAAATAATCCTTATTTATAAGCAAACACAAGAAATACGACTTTTAAATGAGACTTGATAGAGATCAACTCGAACATTTTCCAACGAGCCATTGCAGCATGCAGGTATAAGTTGTATTGTGGATGTCGATGTGAAAGTGGGGCATGTTGGTGTCAGCTGTGAGTAAACCGAATAC